AGAAGCCGCCCCGAGGAACCTTGTTGCTCGAACACCCCAAAGGCCGGCCCTGCATACAACACTCCACAGTATACACGGGGGAGGGGGCATCAACAACAATGACGGTGGGAGCCCCTCATTATTGCTCCAATATTTACCGCTCTCTGAGATACCTGTTGTGGGCGGAGTCTCCCTTTATTGGTGGCTGTATAAAGGTAACTCATCATGTGATTGGTTTGTTTAGTTGCCTCGTCATGTGAAAACACAGCGCAGTCGATCCATCCTTGTGTACAGGGATCCGCCTCTCATTGAGGGATCTGTGAAGGCCTCAGACAATCGATGTGTAAAGACCCGATCACATGATCGATGTGTAAAGACCCGATCACATGATCGATGTGTAAAGACCCGATCACATGATCGATGTGTAAAGACCCGATCACATGATCGATGTGTAAAGACCCGATCACATGATCGATGTGTAAAGACCCGATCACATGATCGATGTGTAAAGACCCGATCACATGATCGATGTGTAAAGACCCGATCACATGATCGATGTGTAAAGACCCGATCACATGATCGATGTGTAAAGACCCGATCACATGATCGATGTGTAAAGACCCGATCACATGATCGATGTGTAAAGACCCGATCACATGATCGATGTGTAAAGACCCGATCACATGATCGATGTGTAAAGACCCGATCACATGATCGATGTGTAAAGACCCGATCACATGATCGATGTGTAAAGACCCGATCACATGATCGATGTGTAAAGACCCGATCACATGATCGATGTGTAAAGACCCGATCACATGATCGATGTGTAAAGACCCGATCACATGATCGATGTGTAAAGACCCGATCACATGATCGATGTGTAAAGACCCGATCACATGATCGATGTGTAAAGACCCGATCACATGATCGATGTGTAAAGACCCGATCACATGATCGATGTGTAAAGACCCGATCACATGATCGATGTGTAAAGACCCGATCACATGATCGATGTGTAAAGACCCGATCACATGATCGATGTGTAAAGACCCGATCACATGATCGATGTGTAAAGACCCGATCACATGATCACAAGCGTCCTCCAGCAGAGCATGTCTAGCATTGGGTTTGAGGGGCGGGGACTGTAGAAGAGTGCATGGGCAGCATGGGGTGATGGGGAAATTTCTGTCCTCAGTGCACTGCATGTGAGGAGATTTCGGGGGATACTTCTTATTGTAACTCCAGCTCTCTGCAGATTTCTAGGAGGGGTAGTAAGCCCATCACAGAAAAGCTGACAGGAGTCCTAGGTAGAGAGGGAGATGTTCTGTAGTCCTGTCATGTGGTCTCCATAGATACAGTAGGTGAACATCGTCACCCTCGGGCAGGAAGTGTGTTACCCGCGTCCACCTAAGGACTGGAAAGCTGCAATATCTTTCTTCTTGGGTTTATATAATGTAATATAAAGGGGAGGAGACATCTCTGTG